AAGGTCATCTTGGCCGTCTGGAGGCCATTTTGACTCTTTCGGGCCTTCTTGGAGGACGTCTTGGAGGGCTCTTGAGGCGTCTTGGAGGCCAGGACACCTCTTGGGCCGTCTTGGGGGCCTCCTGGGGCCGTGTCTTGGGCCTCTTGGGCGATCTTTGGGGGCACTTGGGCCGTCTCGGGCCGTCGGAAGGCAGAACGAAAAGCAAATGCCACAATCCTTCAAAGACCCATACGTCATCTATCGCATGGAGTGCGCGTGGGCCAAGTACCACGCCAACCGGACGGTCCTGACCAACAAGAACATTTCTGTCAAATTGCGGCTTCGTCTTTTCGACAGCGTGGTCTCGCCTACAGCCACGTACGGGTTAGCTACGTGCGCGCTGACACAGCAGCAACGCACGAAGATTGCCGCCGCGAGAGCAGCCATGCTCCGCAACATCGTCGGCTTCTGGAAGCGGCCAGATGAATATTGGGAGGGCGCCGGCAGACGGTGCAAACATCGTCTTCAGAACGCGCTGTCGCAGCACCCCGTTTCCGACTGGTTGCAGGTAGTTGACATACTGCAGTGGCGCCTCGTCCACAAGACCTGTCAAGACGATTTATCGTGGCCGATAGCGGTGATGAAATGGCTCCCTCTTTCAGGCAAGCGGCCTTGGGGACGCCCGAGGACAAGGTGGACAGACAACGTGAACAAGTATCTGAGTAGCAAACACGCCACGTCGCTATCAGAAGTATTTCATGGCACACGAGTGTTCGATTTAGCACATTTCGAGGACGACTTCGTGGACTTCATGACCTCGCAGTAGCCTGCCTGCAACTTTCGTATCTCAGAGGGGTGTGTCTCATTGCATGTTTCCCATCGCCGTCTCCACTTGTGGGGCGCGTGCGGCCTCCGCGCGCGATCGGACCTGACCTGATCTGACGTGGCCTTTTCGGGCTTTCCTGGAGGCCCTCGTGGAGGCCTTTTGGGCCGTCTTGGGCCATCTTAGGGCCATGTTCGGCCGTCTTGGTGGGCTCCTGGTCCGTCTGACGCCGTCGGAACCCGTTTGGGGGGCCTCTATGGGCCGACTTGGGGCCCTCTTGGAATGCTCCAGGGCCGTCTTGGAGGCCCATCTTGGGCGTCTTAAAGGCCTCCTGTGCCGTCTTGGGGGCTTTTTGGGGCCGTCTTGGGGCCCTCTTTGGCCGTTTTGGGGCCATCTTGGAGGCCTCTTGGGCGATCTTTTGGCGATCTTTGGGCGATCTTCGGGGGCTCTTGGGCCGTCTCGGGCCGCCGGAAGGCCGACAAAAAGAAGCAAATGTCAGAATCCGTCAAAAACCATAGGGACATGAATGTGTTGGGCCTCTGCTGGCCTAGCTTCGAGCCAACGTCGGCCATCTTGGTGGGTTCCTGGCACGTCTGACGCCGTCGGGAGCCGTCTCGGGGGCCTTTCTGGGCCGACTTGGGGCCCTCTTGGGGCGCTTCGGGGCCGTCCTGGAGGCCATCTTGGGCGTCTTGGAGGCCATCTTGGGCGTGTTGGAGGCCTCTATGGCCGTCTTGGGGCCCTCTTGGGGCCATCTTGGAGGCCAGTTGGGCCGTCATGGGGCCCTTTTGGGGGCCTCTTGGGCGATCTTCGGGGGCTCTTGGGCCGTGTTGGGCCGTCGGAAAGCCGAAAAGGTGTAAATGCCAAGATCTTTCTAAAACCCCAGGGACATACATGATTTTGACCCTGTCGGGCCTTCCTGGAGGACGTCTTGGAGGGCTCTTGGGCCGTCTTGGAGGCCTCTTGCGGGCCTGTTGGGCCGTCGTAGACCATCTTGATGCCATATTGGGCCGTCTTGGAGGCATCTTGGGGCCATCTTAGCCGTCTTGGAGGCCATCTTGGGCCGTCTTGGAGACGTCTTGGAGACCATCCTGGGCCATCCTGGCCGTCTTGGACGCCATCTTGGGCCAATTGGAGGACACAGAGGCACGGCGGATGCGTTTTGAGCGCCTTTCCGGGTGGCCGGCGGGGCGGGCCGGAGCCCCAGGGGGAGATCTTTTGGAAAAAACAACATCAAAAGCCATATAGTCTGGCACGCCGGGTACACCTTTGATAAATCAAAAGGGGGCGGCGGATCGAAGACGCCTACGGCGAACCACCGCCGCCCCCTGCCTTTTTGGAAGCGCCCATGTGGCCGAACGTTGAGGCCAGACCTGCCAAGCCATCGGATCATGTGTTCCCCGAATCGGTTTGGAAAGCCTTCGGGGAACACGTGGGCATCTTGAAGGTCATCTTGGCCGTCTTGGAGGCCTCTTAGGCGATCTTTCGGCGATCTTTGGGGGCTCTTGGGCCGTCTCGTGCCGTCGGAAAGCCGAAAAGAAGGAAATCCGTCGAAAACCTAAGGAAAACCAAGGTTTTGTGCCTCTTCTGGCCTTCCTGGAGGCCCTCTTGGGCCGTCTTGGGCCAGCTTCGAGCCAACTTCGGCCATCTTGGTGGGTTCCTGGCACGTCTGACGGCGTTGGGAGCCGTCTCGGGGGCCTTTCTGGGCCGACTTGGGGCCCTCTTGGGGCGCTTCGGGGCCGTCCTGGAGGCCATCTTGGGCGTCTTGGAGGCCATCTTGGGCGTGTTGGAGGCCTCTATGGCCGTCTTGGGGCACTCTTGGGGGCCTCTTGGAGGCCAGTTGGGCCGTCATGGGGCCCTCTTGGGGGCCTCTTGGGCGATCTTGGGGGCCTCTGGGGCCGTCTTCAGCCGTAGGAATGCCGAAAAGGCGCAAATGCCAAGATCCTTCTAAAATCCAAGGCTAATACATGATTTTGGCCTCTTCCGGCCCCCCTGGAGGACCTCTTGGAGGCCTCTTGGGCCGTCTGGGAGGCCTCTGGGGGGCCTCTAGGGCCGTCTTGGACTCTCTTGGGCCGTTTTGGAGGCCGTCTTGGACCATCTTGGGCGGACTTGGACGCCATCTTGGGCCATCTTCGCGATTTTGTTGAGGATGTCCCGAGCGAAACGGCCGTTTCAGGGAGGATTTTTCGTGGAGTTTGTGCACGTGGGCAATCCTCCCGGTACCCCGGCGGGACGGGCCGAAACCCACTGGGAGAGTTCTTTTGGAACAAAAACCAAAACCAAAACCGAGAGGATCCAGCACGCCAGGCACCCCTGCGATGAATCGACAGGGGGCGGCGGATTCTTGCGGCGTTCGGCCCATCCCGACACCGTGCCTGGGTTGTGGGTCTGGGGCCTCTTGCATATGTGTTGGGGTGTCGTTGGGGAGCCCTCCTGGGCCTTAGGCGGTTTGGGCGCCTCCTGGTGTCCTCTTGGGACCTCGTTGGGTATCTTTTGGGCCTCTTGGATGCCTTTTGGCGCGTCTTGGGCGCCTCTTGGGGCCTCTTGGGGCCTCTTGGGGCCTCTTGGGGCCTCCGGGGCTTTTCGGAGCGCTTGTTGGGCCATCTTGAAGCCCTCTTGGGCCGTCACGGGGCTCTCTTTGAGGCGTCTTGGGGCGGTCTTGGGGGCTTCTTGAGCCATTTTGGGAGCGTTGGGAAGACGAAAATGCGAGAAGACCACAATCCTTGAGAAACATTTTCGTAAATCCTACGATTTGGCCCCCTTGGGGCTCACTCGGGGGGCCTCTTGGAGCGCTCTTGGGGCCTCTTGGGCCGTCTCGGAATCATCTCCAGGCGCCTTGCAGCATTCTTGGCCTGAGCAATGCGGATATGGCGTAATCTGCTAGGGTTTATGGCCTCGGGGACGCGAACATGGTGTAATGTACTAGGGTTTGTTGCCTCGGGGGCGCAGACATTGCATCATTTGCAAGGGTTTGTGGCCTCGGGGTCGCGAGCATTGTGTAATTGACACAAGGATTATGGCGTCGGGGACACGACTATTGTCTACATTGCGAGGGCTTGTTGCTTCGGGGGCGCAGCAATTAGATCATTTACGCGGGTTTGTGGTTCTGAGGACGCGAACATTGTGTAATTTACAGCGGGGCTCTGGCCCCGGGGGCGCGAATCCTGCGTTTTTTATGTGTCCCACGCCCCCCCAGGAATTCAGGCAACGCGATTTGGGGGAGGTCAAATGCCGGTTTGGGACCCCCCCTTGCGCGGACTCCAATTTTCCATAGGAAGCAGAAAGCAGGACTGTAACATTAAAGACTTGGAGCTTCAACTGGCGCAGGGAACAGCAACCTCGTCAAACAGCCTGGTGGCCCCACAAAGGGGCTGCCGGATCTTGGACGACGACGACGACGACACCATCCACGACGGCGACGACGACGAGGTGAGGCCGAGACAGAACACGACGGCGGCGACAGCGACGACGGCGACCGCGACGACTTCGATGACAACCACCCCCCAGATTTGTCGCGGGATGCGTTTTTGCCAGAATCGCAAGGATCATCCAGCTGTAGCATCAACAAGAACAGAACAACTCCCCGTTCCTAGGACTTCGACGTTCGAACGACAACGACCACGACGACGACATCGACGACGACGCCGACGACGACGATGACTTCGACGGATAAGCTGACGCCGACGCCGACGCCGACGCGGACGCCGACGCCGACGCCGACGACGACGACGATGACGACCACGACGACGAACGACCCCAGCCGCGCCGCACCCAGTCGTCGTTGTCGTCGTCGTCGTCGTCGTCGTCGTCGTGCGATCGACATGCGTACAGGAAGAGTGGGAACGAAGACCAACCCTTTGGGCTCGGTGGTCCGACGTCGGTGCCGCCGCGAACGTCGTCCAGTTGAGGCAGAGCGTCGCCTGCCCACCAGCGGCCTCCCCAGACATCGGGCCGCTCCAATTTTGTCGATGCGTGGGCCCTCGGAGCTCTGGACGACTTCCCCGGGGCGAGTTTTTTTGTCCTGAGCCCTTTTTGACGGTCCCCGGTCCCAGCGAGGGCCCCTGGAGGCCGAACCCGGCCACTTTCTGGCCGCTCCGCTCTTGTTTGGAGCCTCGGCTCTCAGGGTCTCGTCGGCGTGGGAAACCAGGCACTGCGCTCAATTTTGTTTTGCACCCGCCTCGGGCGTGCAGCCCATGGGCAGGAGTTTCCGCCCTCTGCCGGGGCGCCCGCCGCGGAGCTCGTGGCGCTCGCCGCCCTGGCGACGCCCCGGGGGAAAGAGCGCCGCCGCCGCCGGCGTCGTCCGCAGATTGGTGCTCCGATGGGGAGGTTTCTGCACGCTCTGGCGGCTTCTGGAGACTTCTTTAGATCCTTGGCGGTAGCGGGCGTGACCTGACGGGAGGAGGGAGGAGGAGGGAGGAGGAGGCGAGGGAGGAATAGGAAGCGGATCGCAGCACGAAAACCATCACGAAGCAGAGGAGGTCGAGGAAGAGGAGGAGGTGGAGCAGGAGGAGGAGGAGGAGGAGGAGGAGGAGGAGGAGGAGGAGGAGGTGGGGAGGAGGAGGAGGTGGAGGAGGAGGAGGAGGAGGGAGGTGGCGGCGGCGGCGGCGGCCGCGAAAGAGGAGGAGGAGGAGGCGAAGGAGGAGGAGGAGGAGGATATATGTATATATATACTATTAATTATTAGTAGCGGCTCCACGAGTACTAAGAAGACGGATACGATCAATAATACTACGAATAAGCAAACCTAATCATTATTGTAGTTGCCGTATCATTTATAGTACTACGACGAATGCTACTACTAACTCTAAGCACACAACTAATATTGATATCAATAATCAGACAAGTACATCATAAATAAGAAACCTAAAACCATCACCATTAATGCTACTACTACTACTACTACTACTACTACTACTACTACTACTACTACTACTACTAATAGTAATAATAATAAGACTACGAATGCTAATCAGAAGACTAAGAACACACTACGAATATTAAGAATAGTAAGAATCATAGTATTAATACTACAGCAATGGAAAGACGAACGCTACTACGAATGAATACAATTATTCAAAAGAAGAATAGCACTAATAATAATGAGAAGCATACGCAATATATTAATGCGACTCCGAAGGGCCATACTAGTACGAAATAGAATGTTTTTGAATAGCGTGTATGATAAATGTCGTGTTGCTACGGGTTGCCCACTGATCTCTTGAGGGCCGCCGCCGTTTGTTGTCGCTCAAGTCTTGAGTGTGTGGGAGAGGCTCACAGACAACGTTTTCTCGGGAGTGGTCTCGTACCTCAGCAGGTGTCCGCAGGTGCCATATTGCCCTCCGTGTCCCACCTGCTCCCTGGCTTGCGGAGCGCCAGCTCCCTGCCCTGGGTACTCCCTGCGGTGCCCTGCGATCCCGCTCTGCGCGGAGGTCGCTCCTGCGGTGTGCCCCGCGCCGGCGCCGTGCCGTGACGCCCGCCTGTCCGGCGAGCGAGGCTTGCGCGGCGCCTCTCCCAGCGCTGGCGCCGCCGGCGCCAGAGGTGGCGCCCGCCAGGGGGGCCGCGGCGGTCGCTGGGGACGTCCGCGCCGAGCTGCGCGTGCTGTTCGTGGGGCTGCTGGGCGGGGCGATCGGCGTTCTGCTCACGGCCGCCAGCCTGGGCTGCTTCAGTGCGGCCGCTCGCTGCGACGGCCGTCCTCGGGCCCGCGCTTTTGCTAGTCACAGCTATGGCGGCAGTGACGGCTCGGTGGGCATACGTCTTCTACGCAGGCGAGGTGGTGTGGCACCAACACTTGAACCTGGGCCGGGTGGCTTTGTCCGAGACTGACCGCGTGATCTACACGGCCGACGGTGACTTGTACATCGTTGCCCTCGCCAGCAACCTGGACGTGCAGGCCGCGCGCTTCGGCTCGTTCAACCCCCCGCCTCCAGGGATCGACGCGAACCAGGTGCACAGGTTCCGGGCGGAGCCGACTGACGCGGAGGTGGCCCAGCTGACGGCGGAGGCGGGGCAGATCACGGTCGCGGAGTGCCGCGTGCGCGCGGCGGCGGTTGGCAACCTGGGTTTGCTCACCAACCTGCGGGCGCTGGTGGTGCCGGGCGGTGGGGCCGCCGTGGTGTCCGTGGCGCCAGTGGGGCCTGCGGTGGGGCTGCTGCGCGGCGCGGCGCCTTTGGGTGCCGCTGGCGGCGGCGCTGATGTTGGCGGGGCGTGGCGTGCTGCTGCCTGCGAGGGCGGCTTCCGCATCGGAGATGAGGTGCCTGGCCATGTTCCCACCGCGGCTTGCGCCCATGATGGCGACGTACATGTGGTCCCCGACGGCCAGGGCCTCTTCGTGGAGCTGGTGTCCGCTGCTGCGCGTGAGTCTTTCCTCTGGAAGGCAGTGGATGCGGACGCCAGGATCCTTTTCATCGTTCGGGGCGCGCAAGGCCGCCGAGACGTCCCGTGGCACAAGATGCTGGAGATGACCCGCCAGGAGGAATTCGGCTCGGCTCGGATTGGTCGCTGCCTGGGCCGAGGGCCGCCGCCTGGTGCGCGAACTACTTGTAGCGCGAGGGTCTCGGCGTCGATGGGGCACCATGAGCACATCCGTCAGGTCTGCAGGCTTGGCGCTACCGACAGGGGGGTGCAAGAGCACTACCAGCTGCGCCAGCATATCAAAGCAGCCACCTGCCAGGGCCTCCTGGACGGCACAGGCCTGATCTGTGTCGAGATGAAGTTCAGGAGGCCCCAGACCGTAGTGTTCGCGCACTGGGGCAAGGCGGAGGACGCCGAGCGCAAGGGCGTCGGTGGCAAGATGAGTCTGGAGGAGCAGGCTGCTTTCTCCGGGGTGTTCAGATCTACCCCTTCCGCGATGGTGTCGCCCGGCTTGATCGAAGACGTTCGCAGCGACGTCAAGAAAGAAGCCAAGTTGCACAGGGGTCTGCGCCTGGCCCGCTAGGAGCGGGAGTCCAGGCGCAAGAATGGTTGTTCTCGGCGCCCGTGCCGGCCTCGGAGGGGGGGCCAGTGCGGCGACGGTACTCTTCCAACATGCTGGTCCCAGTGACCCTTCCCATGCTCGAGGAGTCCACGATTTTGGCAGACGTCGGCCCCGGGGCATCCATCCGCTCCCGTACCCGTTCGCGGTGGCGCTTTTGGACGAGGCTTCCGCTGCGGGTCTCGCTGAAGGGGCGCGGGGGAGGCCGGGGCGCAGGAGTGCTGTCTGTGACGATGTGATCTGCACGGCGGACGCACTTAATTGGCTTCGCGACCCTTCTCTCAAGGGTGGTCGTGACCGACGTGCGCGGCATGTGGGCCCGTCTCTCGCTCAGCGCATGTGCCGCGTCCGCGTCGACGAATCCGCGCGTTATCTTGGTCCTCCGCCCTTGTCTTTTTCCCCCGCAGGAACGCTTGCGCAGCTTCGCGTGGCCGGGGGCGCTTGCGTCGTCGAGCAGTCGCCTCTCGGGGGCCACGGCCCCGCGCTCCTCTACCTGGCGTCAGTTTCACGCCCGCGCCGCTGGCGGACGCGCGGGGGGGGGGGGGGGCGCGCAAGCCAAGGTCGAACAGTTCGTTCTGCAGCGCGTGCTTGACCCAGGCGAGGCTGCTGCACGGCTACTGCATTGGTCCGCGCCAGTACCTCGCTCCGACCCGCTTTTGCGAGGCCAGCGGCGCTGGTCGAATTCGGTTCAGCTTCTGAGCGAGCGGCACCTGGTTGACTTCCACCCGGAGAATGGCGTCAGGGCCGATATCTTTGTTGTTGAGAAGAAGGGTGGCCGCCTCAGCATGGTGGCGGACTGTCGCCCTTGCAGCGAGGTGTTCACCGCGCCTCTCGGAGTGCGTCTGGCCACGGGCGACGCCCTCGGTGCGCTGGAGATGGCCGACAGCGATGATCTGCTCACCGTGGGGGGCGCCTACCTGGAGGATGCCTTCTACCACCTGGAGTTGCCAGCGCAGCTCCGCTCGCACTTCGCCCTCGGGCCCGCGCGCGCGGGCGCCGTGGGCATGTCCCACCTTGAGGGGCAGCAGCGTGAAGGCTTCCACCCAGCTCTTCCCGCTGCGGGGGGTGGTGCCGATGGGCTGGCCCTGAGCCACGTGGTGGCGTCAGTCCGTGATGGGGCGGGCGGCCGAGGCGGCGGGTTGCGGCGACGCCTCTCGACTTCGGGATGACGGCCCGCCGCCCGCTCGGAGCCCCGCTTGCCACCTCGTACGTCCACAAATTCGTAAGCATTGGCTATGATGCCGAGGCCATGCGGTGGGCCGTTGTCCGAGTGATGACGGAGCTCAAACGGCGCGGCCTGGTCGTGACCCATTCGGGTCACGTTGGCGACAAGGAGGGCGAGTGCTCCGTCCTCGCTCACGTCCACAGGTCGTCTCTCGGCTTCGGCTTCGAGGTTGTGGCGGGCCCGGCTCGCTGTCCGGGGTTCACTTGGACGGGGGCGCGCTATTGGCCGCGACCTCGAGCGTGTGCTGGGCCACATCGTTTTCACCTTCGCTCGTAGGGGTGGGCTCAGCACCATTGAGTCGTGCTTCCGTTTTGTCCAGAAGTGCCACCGCCAGGAGGTGCCTCTCTGGTCTCAGGTCTGGCAGGAGCTCATGGCCTAGGATGGACTCTGGCGTGATCTCCATGCTCAGTGGTCCCCGACCGTCGGCTGCGTGGACGCCCCCTCCCTGGGGTTTGGGCGCCTGCGCGGCTGACTGGAATGTGGGCGCTGTGCGGGAGGTCGGTCGCCATCGTGAGAGGTGGCGCCATGACAGGGCCGAGCGCTTGCCTCCTCGTCGCCGCGCGCGCGCCGCCGAGTGCCTTGCCGACGGCGCCGCAGCCTGCGGCCCAGGGATCGTCGCGGACATGTGCGATCCCGCCTGCCTGTCAGGCGACCCGCAGCCCGTCGGTTCGCCCGTGGAGCGGGACCTGCTCGCTTTTCCAGAAGTGCCGAAGAAATGGTTGCACAGCGCTCAGTGGGGCATCACTAGTCGCTGGAAGTGGGATCGCCTCGAAGGGATGCTTGTTCTGGAGGCGCGCGCTGTTCTATATCACTCTCGTCATGCCCTCCGAGCCGCTCGGGGCCATGGGGAGAGACTGCTTGTCTTGGGGGGCGCTCTTGCGTCGGTCTCGGCGGCCTCCGGGGCGCGGGCCCGCGGCCCCGCCGTGCTGGGCATTATGCGCCGCGTTGGGGTTCTCTCTCTGGCAACTGGCAGTCTTTCTGTATAAGTTGGATTCCGTCCGAGTGCAATGTGGCAGATGGCCCGTCGAGAGGCCGCGGGGGCCCCAGCTTGCCGTCTGCAGTTGCATTCGAGGAAGGCCCCGCCAAGTCCTCCGAGCATGAGCCCCTCGAGGAGCTGCTACTGGTAGACAACAGGGCGCGTCCACGACATCACAGAGCATCTGCTGCGCAGGGTGGAGGTGGAGATGAGCGACGCGCGCGGCGCAATCTGGGTCTACGCGCACATGCGGTTCACGAAGAGCCTCATCAAGCGCCACCACCGGGGAATCAAGAGGAGCCCTTGTCGCGGCCCGTCGCGGAGTTGAGGGGGCGCCAGGTTGTCTTGGGCGTCGGCCCAGCTTCCCGTCGCCAGCCACGTCGCGGCCCATGTGTTCTTCATCTATTTCCATATGTCCTTGACAGCCCTCCTCCTTGTCATCGGCGCGCTGCAGGCAGAGATGGCGTCGGCGCTCCTCCAGGGCTGTCCGCGCGAACGACCCACGGCTGCGCTGAGCGAGCAGTCGGCAGCCCCCTTGCTCGCGCGCTCGGCTTGTGGGCCCAGCTCGGACGTGGCGGCCGCGCCTGCCCCCCGGGCCTCTGCCGGGGGCCGCCGGGGCTCGAGCGCCCGGCTTGCCCCCCAGCAGCGGGCGCGGCTGATCCAGCCGCCGACGGGGGTGCCGGCGCTGAATGCCGCGTCGGCCAGGGCGGCCTCGAGCCGCCAGGCCTTCGCCGACATGCTGGCGGGCTTCGACGCGCGGGCCGGCCGGCGCTGCAGAGCCGCGGCCGAGCCGACGCAGATGGACCGCGCCGTGCGCGACTGCATCAACGTGCTTTTCGAGCAGGGCTACCGCCAGACGCGCGCCAACCGCGCGATCGCGATTACGGGGCGCGGCGGGGCCCGCGTTTTGCCCGGGCGGGCCCTCGCGACCTGCCGCTCGCCAAGCAGGTGGCCGGAGGCTGGCGCAACCTGGCGCTGCCCCGCAGTCGCATGGCGCTGCCCTACAAGGTCGTCGCCATGGTCGCGCACTACCTGTCGCATCAGCGCAGCGCGCTGAAGGCGCGCGCGATCTGGCTCCTTTTCGAAATCTACGGCCGTCCAGGAGAGATCCACGGGTTGCGGCTGCACGACGTGGTGCCGCCCGCCTCTTCGGCCTCGGGGGCGCGCGGGAGTTCGGGGATGTCTCCAAGACAGGCGAGTGCGACGCGGCGGCGCGGCTGGACCTGGACATGCACGTCGGCCCGGGTCAGGGCCTGACGGGGGTGGCGCCAGCTCGAGGCCGCGGAGGCGCCCCTTTTTGCGGTCTCCCAGCTCCAGGTGACCAATGCCTGGGGGAAGGCCGCGCGGGTGCTGAGGCCCTCGAAGTTGGGGGCCCGCCACGTCTGCCAGCTGCGCCGCTCGGGCCCGAGCCGCGAACGCGCCGCCGGGCTCTGCGACCTGGGGCAGGTCCGCCGCCGGGGCCGCTGGAAGTCGTGGAGTTCCGCGCGCAGGTGCGAGAAAGGCGGGCGGCTGACGGGGCAGCTCCACAAGTTGCCCGCCACGCGGCGCCGTCGCGCCGAAGTTTGCGCCGCGCTCCTGAGCCAGTCGTGCCACGGCCTGCCCTCGCCTGCGCAGCCAGTTCGCCCGACCCGCCGCTGGATCTTCTCTCGGGCGCCCGTTGCCCAGCTTGGCATGCCTGTTTTGCTTCGGGGCACTGCGCTGGGAGACAAATCTGACCTCTCTCGCCCGTGCAATCGAAGGTGAATTCTGTCGTGGGCTCGCGCTGGCCAAATCAGGGAATGGCACGCTGGCGTTCCCTGCAATGTTCTAACAAGGTGCCGCGACAATGGAGTCGGGGCCCCTGCAGTTCGCTCTGATATCCACCTCCTTGGCCTCCCTCATCTCAAGTCTCATGTGCAAGCAATCGTTGATGTGTCTAACATTATGAATAACTTTGTCGCTACCTTTGCGTGCACATGCTTGCCGTTGCGTATTCCCTGGTGTATCGAGAACCCCAAAACGTGCAGGTTGTGGTTGAAACCCCGCTTTGAGGCCCTGGCGCGTCGCCGCGCTGCCTGCTTCCATGTTGCCTCGATGTGTCAGTGGGGTGCGCCGTGGAAAAAAAAACACGGGCCTTTTGTTCGGTGACCTCGACCCTGGACCGTTCCAGGACTCTCGGTGTATACGCTCCAGGCGCGGGATCTGATCGCGTACCCATCGGCCCCGCCACCCGTTCCACGGTTTCCTGCCCCGGGGTGGTTTTAAAACCAAGCCGGGTGCTGAGTATCCACGCAAGTTTTGCATGGCCCTGGCGCGTCTCTTTCGTAATGCCAACGTTCGGGCTTCCGCGGAAGTGATACAGGAAACTTTGGTGATGTGAGTCTCTACATATTCTCGGCGCTGCCAGCTTGGTCAGCATAATCGGGAGCATGCTTTGTGATTTTGTCTGAACGTTTTCCTGTCCCTCGGACTTGAGCGTGCCTGTGCCTTGCGGCGACCTCGACGGCAGGATCCTTGCCTGTGCTCAGTTTCTTGCAGTTGCTGGCAGACACAAGAGCACAACGAATTGTTGTGTTTGTGATTTCACGGGTGTCCGATGATCTCTTGAGGGCCGCCGCCGTTTGTTGTCGCTCACGTATTCCGCCTCCTCCTCTCTTCCACCTTTTTTCTTCTGGCGATTTTGCCTGAGGGCCTTCCTTCCCTCAGACTTGAGCGTGCCTGTGCCTTGCGGCGGCTTCGACGGCACGATCGTTGCCTGTGTTCCGTCCCCTGCAGTTGCTGGCAGACAAAAGAGCCCAACTGAATGAAACGTACTAAGAGTAATTATCGTGATGCGAATGCTAGAAATGTTGGTAGTATCGATGATTATATAGATGCGACTACTACGAATAAGAATCGCCTTCGCCCTCCTCGTCCTGGCTTTCGCCCTCCTCGTCGTCCTCGCCCTCGCTGCTCTCGCCCTCGTCCCTGCCCTCTCCTCCTTCTCCGTCGCCCTCGTCCTCGCCGTCCTCTTCGCCCTTGTTTCAGCCGCGTGCGAGACTCCGAGCATGTCCGCGGGAGGGTCAGCACCCGACCACGGTGAGCCTTTGGAGTGAGGGCTCCGGAAAACTTTGACAGGTCCCTTCTACACGGTAGAGGTAGGACCCAAGGACACTTGATCATTTTGTTCATCCTGTCTATCTTCGGCGTCCTTCTCGCCGTCGTCCTCGCCCTCCTACTCGAACGGTAGCCTACGAGTTGCTTTTGCTTTCTTTGCCTTGTTCAATCGTCCCCCCTCCCAGCCGCTGCCGCTTTGCTCTGGGGTACGGAAGGTGGCCGCCTTCCGTGCCTGCTCGCGTGTTAGACATACCCGTTCATCCTGTTTATCACGCCACCCATACCCAAACCGGAGGCCCCAATTTGAACACCATTACCAGTGGGGGGGGAGGGCGTTTGGGAACATGGACAAAAAGACATGTGGAACCCGTACCCCCCCAACCGTAAATTTGGGTCTTCGCGTTGCGTTGGAGTGGTTTGGTAGCTAGTCAGTTGATCCTCGCCGTCCTCCTCGCCGTCCTCCTCGCCCTCCTCGCCCTCTCGCCCTCCTCGCCCTCCTTGCCCTCCTTCTCCTCGCCCTCCTCCTCCTCCTCGCCCTCCTCGCCCTCCTCGCCCTCCTCCTCGCCGTCCTCCTCTCCATCCTCGCCCTCTCCAGGCAGCGCTGGCCATGCTTCAGCCCGGGACCTCGCTGCTTGGCGACGCCGCCCTCGCGGTCGCGCTCGCCGCCGCCGCAACGGCCCACGCCGCGGAGGCGACGCCTCCCGTCGTCGTCGTCATTGTCGTCGTCGTCGTCGTCGTCGTCGTCGTCGTCGTCGTCTGTCCTCGTCCTCGTCCTCGTCCTCGTCCTCGTTCTCGTTCTCGTTCTCGTTCTCGTTCTCGTCCTCGTCGTCCTCCTCGTCCTCGTCGTCCTCCTCGTCCTCGTCGTCCTCGTCCTCCCCGTCGTCGGCTCGCTAATTCGTCGTCATCTTCATTGTCCCGCTGTTGCTGCTGCTGTGTCTGCTACCCCTTTGGAGGGAGGGTGGTGGGGAGCGGGAGGGGGACGGGTAAGAGGTATGAGGGAGGTGAATTCTTCAGTATGCTGTTTTGGCCAGTATACACAACTTCGAACTTCCGTAACCCATCTTGGGCCCCTGTTTGGGCTAGCATACACAACCCCGAGGGCCCCCATCTTCGAGCCCAGCTTGGAACTGCGGTGCGCCTACAGAGGCGGTCGCCGTGCTCTCCGGGAGGCGGCGCTACCTTCCACATCGATGGCTCGTCGCAGTACCTTTCAGCTGGATAGGATCATGAGGCTCAGCTGGAAGTTGCTGCGGCAAGCTGGCGAGGGAAGCGTGGGCAGGGGAGAGGGGATTCCATCCATCACGTCTCGACCACCAGCTGCTGAGGGGAGGGGTGGTGGTTCGGCGGCGAGTGAGGGGTTGGGGCAAGTGAGAAGGAGAAGGGCCTCTCAGAAGGCGGCGGGGCCTCTCAGACGCCCCCGCGCTCTCTGCGCGGCTTCCGGTGTCCTCGGGGCAGGCTCACAGCACTTCTCGGCAGGCCGGGGGACGACCGAGCTTGCCGAGAAGGTCCGCCCCCACCCTCGCTTCCCCCAGTGGCGCCTGGGAACGCCTGGGAGCGCCTGGGAGCGCCTGGGAGCGCCTGGGAGCGCCTGGGAGCGCTTGGGAGCGTCTGGGAGCGCCTGGGAGCGCCGAGAGCGCCTGGGAGCGCCTGGGAGCGCCTGGGCGCTTGGGAGCGCCTTGGCCTCGTTTGGTATCTCTTGGAAGCGAGGGTGGTCAAAAGCGAGGTAGGTTTGTTTTCCCCCTACCCACCCTCGCTTCCCCCAGTGGGCTCGCCGCCGACTGGTGTCGGCGCAGATCGACGGCAGCCCGCCGGCGCCGCCGCAGCCGCCGCCTCGCATCGCCGCCTCACCCCCCCCCAGGAGGGGATCGCAGAGGCCGGGCCTCGGGCGCTCGCCCTCGTGGGCCAGTGGAGGAGGAGCGAGGAGGAGGAGGAGGAGCGAGGAGAGGAGGAGGAGG